TTTTTTTTTTTTCTGACAATGTTACACTTGGTCACCAACTTATCTTTGCTTTTTGCTTGTTAAATAATGATTTGATGTTAAGTTCTGTTTCATTAAAATCTGTAACTTATCATTATAGTGTTCTGTACCTGTAGGCTGTGGCGCAAGCATATATATTTCCATTAAAGGGTGAAAGAAGTATTTATTACTTAAATTTTTCTGTTTATTCATATTGACATTACTTAGGTGCAATAATGAAACTTCTTTGCTTTATAATATTCACTTATTTCTTTATTTCCCACCGCAATAGGAGGATGCGTGATGACTGATTTCATTTTCATATAATATGCATTTAACATTTGCACTGAACTATTAAGATGTAAAGTATGATCATAAAGTCTTGAATTCTCACTTCTTCAGCTTTCCTGCTGAATATTTTCTTGCTATTTGTCATCTCATGACGCATCCATAAGCCATCAACTATTTTTCTCTTTAGTGGTAGACTCTACTAACTTAGACTATTTATCCCTGTTTTTCTAGGGATTCTTAAACTTGTTCGGCTAAAAGATTCTCTTAAATTCAGGTAAGTTCACGACAGAAGGAAACAAGCAGCACTTCTGGAATGAGCGATACTGTCAAAACCAGTGAGCTCATAAAGCATAGAGCAAAGGTATATTTTGGTCTTATTGTAACTCCCTAATAAGTATCTATATATTTCACATAGATGTTTCAAATGATTATTCTTGTTCATCTTGGCAGACGCTGTATTTTCGTAGTGTTAAATGGTTCATGATCTATTTTGGAACGAGACTTAAAATCCTACGTTTTCATATCTGTATATATTTCTCAGGAAGTTGTACCAAAAAGGATAATACAGATGGAGGAAGCAATTAAGAATCGTGATTTTCCAGCTTTTGCTCGTCTGACATGTGCAGACAGTAATCAGTTTCATGCAGTCTGCCTCGATACCTTACCCCCTATCTTCTACATGAATGACACATCTCACAGGCAAGCACGATCCCCTATTCACGTCACACTAACGTCATAGTATGTAGTTTTGTGTGTCGTTTTACATCCCTATTATTATTATTGTTGTTGTTGGGTGTGTGTGTGTGTGTGTGTCACGAACTATTATTTTCTTCTCATCAAGGGATTAATGTTCCAGGATTATCAATGCTGTTGAGAAATGGAATCGCCATGAAGGAACACCGCAGGTACTACTTTTTTCTCTCTTTGCTTTCGTGTGTTAAAATATCACCTGCATTCTAGCCTTTAGAGACCACCATTTTTATATATTAATGAGTTCTACTAATGGAAGTGGTACACTTTTGGATCACTCTTACATAAAAAGTTCTCATGCACTTTGACATAATGCATGTGTTGCACGAATTCATGATTTCACATATCACATCATTTTTAAAACCAACAACCACCATAACTCTTGCAAGGGTAAAAAATTTTGTCGCACCTTATATGTCAAAACAACATTTCTATAAATCTTACTTAATATTTTCCTAATCCGGATAACCGCACGGTACCTTCATGATTTCAGCAACTTTTTTTTTTTTTT